CACAGCATCTGCAGCTTGAAATGACATAGTGTGATATTACTCATTGCTTTTTATGGCAATAATATATATTGATTGCTATTGATTGTAATCTTTCTTTCTAAACCTCCAGAAATCAGTTGGGTTTCTTGAACTGCAGTACAACTACACTTTACATTTCACCCAATCAAAATACACCACGCTCTGGTTTGCGGTCCAACCCTCTAAAAGTTACGTAAGTAGCTTGTAGAGAACAAAGCGTTTGTCCCTGCCATGTTGTCCCTCGCCATGTTGTAGCCTCTCCTATGACACGCAATAGGAAAATTCCAGCAGTGAAGCCGCCCTCATAGATCGGGTGTGAGGACACACGAGTGATTGGACTCTACCACACAGTATTCTCCTAGTGTTTGAGGCCGTGCCGTGCGGCGTGGCGAAGAAAGGCGATAGGTTAGAGGAAAATGATACGTAACGGAAACAGCCAATGGCAGTGGAGAGGTTCAGGTAGGTGGGGCCAGAGCCAGAAGTTTGCTGTACGTCATCCTGTAGAGGAAGTCCAATCGGTCCCAGGGATGATGGGGGTGTTCGGGGGCTCCCATGTATGTAGTGACATGATGATGGGGTGTCTGGGGGCTCTCTTACACTGGTGGGAGGGGAAGTGTGCTTCTTGTATATGTACTGACACAGGTGTAATAGTGAGGTGGAGGGTTGTTGTTTCTCATGGATATACTGTTACCGACACATGAATGTCGGTCATGTATGTATAGACACAGAGGTCATGTGTAATGGGGTTTCTCAGTCATGCACTGTCACAGATGTAACGGGGGGGGGGTTCTCATGTATGTACTGTCACTGACACAGATGTAAAGGGGGTTTCTCGTGTATGTACTGTCACTGATGTAAAGGGGGGTTCTCATGTATGTTTACTGTCACTGACACTGATGTAAAGGGGGGTTCTCATGTATGTACTGTCACTGTCACAGATGTAAAGGGGGTTCTCATGTATGTACTGTCACTGACACAGATGTAAAGGGGGGTTCTCGTGTATGTACTGACACAGATGTAAAGGGGGGTTCTCGTGTATGTACTGACTGACACAGATGTAAAGGGGGGTTCTCGTGTATGTACTGACACAGAATGTACTCTAAGCATGATAGAAGGGGGGTTCTCGTGTATGTACTGACACAGATGTAAAGGGGGGTTCTCGTGTATGTACTGTCGCTGTATTGACACAGATGTAAAGGGGGGTTCTCATGTATGTACTGTTGCTGACACAGATGTTAAATGGGGGTTCTCATGTATGTATGTACTGACACAGATGTAAAGGGGGGTTCTCGTGTATGTACTGTCACTGACACAGATGTAAAGGGGGGTTCTCGTGTATGTACTGTCACTGACACAGATGTAAAGGGGGGTTCTCGTGTATGTACTGTCACTGACACAGATGTAAAGGGGGGTTCTCGTGTATGTACTGTCACTGACACAGATGTAAAAGGGGGGTTCTCGTGTATGTACTGTCACTGACACAGATGTAAAGGGGGGTTCTCGTGTATGTACTGTCGCTGACACAGATGTAAAGGGGGGTTTTTCATGTATGTACTGTCACTGACACTTATGTAGTGCAGGTTGAGTTTCACGTGACACACGTGGGGGAAGGGGGGGTCTCATGTATTTACTGTCACTGACATTATACGTGGGGGGTGGGTCATTTATGTACTGTCACTGACACCACTGTAAAGGGAGTAATGGGTGTTCTCATGTATGTACAGTCACTGACACATATGGTGGGGGGGTTGAGTTTCTCATGTATGGACTGTTACTGACACATACATGGGGGGTTCTCATGCATTTACTGTCACTAACACAGATGTAAAGGGGGAAGGGGGTTTTCATGTACAGTGGGGTAAAAAAAGTATTTAGTCAGCCACCAATTGTGCAAGTTCTACCCACTTAAAAAGATGAGAGAGGCCTGTAATTGGCATCATAGGTAGACCTCAACTATGAGAGACAAAATGAGAAAAAAAATCCAGACAATCACATTGGCTGATTTGGAAAGAATTTATTTGCAAATTATGGTGGAAAATAAGTATTTGGTCAATATCAAAAGTTCATCTCAAATACTTTGTTATATATCCTTTGTTGGCAATGACAGATGTCAAACGTTTCCTGTAAGTTTCACAAGGTTGGCACACACGGTTGCTGGTATGTTGGCCCATTCCTCCATGCAGATCTTCTCTAGAGCAGTGATGTTTTGGGGCTGTCGCTGGCAACACGGACTTTCAACTCCCTCCAAAGGTTTTTCTATGGGGTTGAGATCTGGAGACTGGCTAGCCTTCTCCAGGACCTTGAAATGCTTCTTACAAAGCCACTCCTTCGTTGCCCAGAGCGGTATGTTTGGGATCATTGTCATGTTGGAAGACCCAGCCACGTTTCATCTTCAATGCCCTTGCTGATGGAAGGAGGTTTGCACTCAAAATCTCACGATACATGGCCCCATTCATTCTGTCCTGTACATGGATTAGTCGTCCTGGTCCCTTTGCGGAGAAACAGCCCCAAAGCATGATGTTGCCCACCCCCATGCTTCACAGTAGGTATGGTGTTCTTTGGATGCAACTCAGCATTCTCTCTCCTCCAAACACGACGAGTTGTGTTTCTACCAAACAGATTTCTATTTTGGTTTCATCTGACCATATGACATTCTCCCAGTCCTCTTCTGGATCATCCAAATGCTCTCTAACAAACTTCAGGCGGGCCCGGACATGTACTGGCTTAAGCAGGGGGACACGTCTGGCACTGCAGGATCTGAGTCCCTGGCGGCGTAGTGTGTCTTACTGATGGTAGCCTTTGTTACGTTGGTACAAGCTCTCTGCAGGTCATTCACTAGGTCCCCCCTGTGTGGTCCTGGGATTTTTGCTCACCGTTCTTGTGATCATTTTGACCCCACGGGGTGAGATCTTGCGTGGAGCCCCAGATCGAGGGAGATTATCAGTGGTCTTGTATGTCTGTATGTCTTCCATTTTCTAATTATTGCTCCCACAGTTGATTTGTTCTCACCAAGCTGCTTACCTATTACAGATTCAGTCTTCCCACCCTGGTGCAGGTCTACAATTTTGTTTCTGGTGTCCTTCGACAGCTCTTTGGTCTTCACCATAGTGGAGTTTGGAGTGTGACTGTTTGAGGTTGTGGATAGGTGTCTTTTATACTGATAACAAGTTCAAACAGGTGCCATTGATACAGGTAATGAGTGCAGGACAGAGGAGCCTCTTAAAGAAGAAGGTACAGGTCTGTGAGAGCCAGATATCTTGCTTGTTTGTAGGTGACCAAATACTTATTTTCCACCATAATTTGCATATAAATTCTTTCCAAATCAGCCAATGTGATTGTCTGGATTTTTTTTCTCATTTTGTCTCTCATAGTTGAGGTCTACCTATGATGCCAATTACAGGCCTCTCTCATCTTTTTAAGTGGGGAGAACTTGCACAATTGGTGGCTGACTAAATACTTTTTTGCCCCACTGTATGTTCTGTCACTAACATAGGTGTAATGGGGGTTTCTCAGGTTTGTACTGTCAGTGACACAGATGCAAAGGAGGGAAGGGTTTTAATATTATTATACAGGATTTATATAGCGCCAACAGTTTTGCTCAGCTCTTTACAATATATGGAGACAGTACAATTACAATACATTTCAGTACAGAAGGAATAGGAGGGCCCTGCTTGTGGAGCTTACAATCTAAAGGTAGGGGGAGGTGATACAAAAGGTGATAGCTGTCGGGGATGATCTGGTGGAGGTGATCCAAGTACTGTTCTTAGGTGGAGGTGGGGTAGGCTTCCCTGAAGAAGTGAGTTTTCAAAGATCAGCTAAAGGCAGACAGGGTGGGGGCTGACTGGACATGCTGTGGTAGGGAGTTCCAGAGGGTGGGAGAGGCTCTGGAGAATTCTTTGAGGCGAGCGTGGGAAGAGGTGATGAGGGAGCTAGAGAGGAGGATATCATGGGAGGAGTGGAGTGGGCGATTTGGGCAGTATCTGTGGATGAGGTTGGTTATGTAGCTAGGGGCAGTGTTGTGGATGGCTTTGTAAGCTGTGGTTAGTATTTTGAATTTTAGACGTTGTATGTACTGTCACTAACACAGGTGTAATAGGGGATTCATGTGTATGAACTGCTACTGACACAGATGTAACTGTCACTGATTTAGATGTAAGGTGGCAGTGGTGGCGATAGGGTTCCCACTGACACAGGTGTAAAGGTGGGGTTGAGCTTTTCATGTATGTAAAGTCATTAACACGAGTGTAATGGGGGGTTCTTGTGTATGTACTGTCACAGGTGTATGTACCTTAATGTGCATAGTCTAGGGCCGTGTTTCTTCAGGGCCTCAAAAATATGATAGGTAGTCAGGAAATTAGATGCGTCATTTATGTTTAATTTATACTTCTTGAAAGCCCAAAGGCACTCCATGGATTTTGGGCCCCTCTATGTATTTAGGCTGTGAAAAAGTCTCACATATATGGTATGCCCTTACTCAGGAAGCATAGAATGTGTTTTGGGGTGTAATTGTAAGTATGTCTATGCTGTGTGTGAGAGGCAGTAAGTATATCGGAAATGATACATTTTCCAGTATATATCCCATAGTTTGTACAATCTAAAACTTTCACACAGACTAAATAATATACACTGATTTGGGTTTTGGGATTTTTACCAAAGAAAATGTAGCATAATACATTTTGGCCTAAATTTATGAAGAAAGATTATTTATTTGCAAACTTTTATAACAGAAACGAAGAAAAATGTTTGTTTTTTTTTTCATTTTTTTTTTTTATAATGCAAAAAGTAAGTAAAACCAGTGTTGATTAAATGTCAAAAAAGATATCTCCAGTATATGCCAGCTTATAAGGTTTATGTTTACTTTAGCCATATCCGTCAAGAAATGATTTCTCATTAGGCTTCATTAGCTATGGCACGTTCCATTGTTTTGTTTAATAAGCCTTCAAGTCTTTCTACAGCAGCATTTATCATGTTTTGTTTTATTGCAGAATCGTGGTGACCTTCAGGAGCCTGACCATGCTGCAAGTGTGTGGAATTGGATGATCGATACTTCAATGGCCACCACGGAATTTCAATGGCCACACTTAGGTGCCCGCTGTGGAATGAGAGCAGCACTGGTGATATTATCTGGGTCACTTTTGGTGGTCCTTGTCCCCCTGAGTGGGCTGGAGGAACATTACAGAGCAGCTCTGAAAGTTCTCCTTCATTTTAACCTCTGGGGAGGGGATGAACGCATACACACATACACAGGACAGTCTACGGGTCTTTCCGTTACTTCAGCTGCAATTGAGTTTCTGGTGTTCAAACAGAAACCTTCTCCAGGTAATGCACATTTTGTTGGATGTCATCCTTTCTTACCAACGTCTTCCACATACCATGGCAAACATTATGTCCTCAAATATATGACTAACATTAAGTTTAAAATGAACATAAGAATTACTCTGACAGTCTAATTTTGCCCAAAACATTTTTGGTTGTAGTTTTGGATATTGCTAGGAAAAGTAGAACTATAGGCAAAAGTTTTTTTTCTTTCATTTTGGTAAGAGCAAGGGAAGATTATAACCCGTCAGATTTTTGATTCGCCATCTGTGTTCCATTGGGGAGATTTACCTTCACTTCCTGTGCCATAGCCAAACAGAAAATGAGGAAATCGCTGCAAATTAAATGAATTCATTGGGGATCCCCAGGTCACCAGAACTAGTGTCCCCATTGGAAGATTTCCCCTTTGTTACTATTACTCTCTGCTACATTTCTGGGGACAACCCAAAGTGTGGGATTATCTTTTCCTTTCACTTTCAATGATAATGGTAAACAGGACAAATAGAGAGGGGCCCAGACAGCAATAAAAAACTGACTAATCTATTCTAATCTCTCTGCACTCTACCCAAAATAACATAAAAAAAATTGCCTTTAGTTATACTTTATCATATCTCCCAAATTTTCATTGCTGTTGTGGCTCAGTTGGGAGAATTCCTATTGCTTGAGACAGGAAAGGGAGGATAGTCTCCACCCAGAAACCAATAAAAAGCAGCCAAACCACATTTTTATTCATACTACTTAAAAGTGTTTAGTTTTTAGAAAGATACACTATATTGCCAAAAGTATTGGGACACCCCTCCATATCGTTGGATTCAGGTGTTCCAATCACCTCCATGGCCACAGGTGTATAAAATCATGCACCTAGGCATGCAGACTGCTTCTACAAACATTTGTGAAAGAATGGGTCACTCTCAGGAGCTCAGTGAATTCAAGTGTGGTACCGTGATAGGTTGTCACCTGTGCAATAAGTCCATCCATGAAATTTCCTTGCTACTAAATATTCCACTGTCAACTGTTAGTGGTATTATACCAAAGTGAAAGCAACTGGAAACAGCAGCAACACAGCCATGAAGTGATAGGCCATGTAAATTGACAGAGCGGGGTCAGCGCATGCTGATGTGCACAGTGCACAGAAGTTGCCAACTGTCTGCAGAGTCAATAGCTAAAGACCTCCAAACTTTGTGTGGTCTTCATGGAATGGGTTTCCATGGCCGAGCAGCTGTATCCAAGCCTTACATCACCAAGTGCAATTGTGTAAAGCACACCACCACTGGACTCTAGAGCAGTGAAGATGTGTTCCCTGGAGTGACGAATCATGTTTCTCTGTCAGACCATCTGATGGACGTGTCTAGGTTTGGCGGTTGCCAGGAGAACAGCATTTGCCTGACTGCATTGTGTCAAGTGTAAAGTTTGGTGGAGGGGGAATTACGGTGTGGGGCTGTTTTTCAGGGGTTGGGCTTGACCCCTTAGTTCCTGCGAAGGGAACTCGTAAGGCATCAGCATACCAAGACATTTTGGACAATTTCATGCTCCCAACTTCATGGGAACAGTTTGGGGATGACCCTTCCTGTTCCAACATGACTGCACTCCAGTGCACAAAGCAAGATCCAAAAAGACATAAATGAGCGAGTTTGGGGTAGAGGAACTTGACTGGTCTGCACAGAGTCCTGACCTCAATCTGATAGAACACCTTTGAGATGAATTAGAGTGGAGACTGCAAGCCAGGCCTTCTCGTCTGACATCGGTGCCTAACCTCACAAATGCACTTCTGGAAGAATGGTCAAACATTCCCATAGACACACTCCTAAACCTTGTGGACAGCCTTCCCAGAAGAGATGAGGCTGTTTTAGCTGCAAAGGCTGGGCCAACTCAATATTGAACCCTATGCACTAAGACTGGGATGCCATTAAAGTTCATGTGTGTGTAAAGGCAGGAGTTCCAATACTTTTGGCAATATAGTGTATATACCTACTTCTTGAATTGATGATCCTGTTTTTAAGCCAGGGAGTGGGAAGAAATTTTGTTCTGTTTGCTGTCCTGGAGCAAGAAAATATATCCCTGAACTAATTTTTATATAGACATTTTACCATTTTGTGTAATGTCTAGTTCATTTTTGGTCTTTTGTAACCTATTGACTTTATTCAAACAGAATGTGACTGCCCATGGCTGATAAAGACTGAAATTTAATTTAAAAAAAAAACCTATTTTTAACATTGCAGAGGTCGTGTTTGAAGCCAGAGCTGCTCTCAACCAAGCCCTAGAAATGAAGCGTCAAGGTAAAAGAGAAAAGGCACATAAACTTCTTCTCCACGCCTTAAAGATGGATCCAGATCATGTGGATGCACTTAATGAGCTAGGTATCCTCTTGGAGGAAGAAAAAGATGTCATCCAGGCAGACTACCTATATTCCAAAGCATTGATGATCTCTCCCCATAATGAAAAGGCTCTAATAAACCGCGATCGGACATTGCCATTGGTTGAAGAAATAGATCAGAGGTATTTCAGTATAATTGACCGTAAGGTTAAGAAAGTGATGTCCATTCCAAAGGGTAACTCAGCTCTCCGCAGAGTTATGGAAGAGTCTTATTATCACCACATTTATCATACAGTGGCCATTGAAGGCAACACACTTTCATTGTCTGAAATCCGACATATAATTGAAACACGCTACGCAGTGCCTGGTAAAAGCCTCGAGGAACAAAATGAAGTGATTGGTATGCATGCAGCCATGAAATATATGAACACCACTTTAGTGTCTCGTATTGGTTCTGTGACAATCAACGACATACTGGAGATACACCGGAGAGTGCTTGGCTATGTGGATCCTGTTGAAGCTGGGCGGTTTCGCACTAACCAAGTGTTTGTGGGTCATCATATACCGCCACATCCTAGAGATGTCCATAAACATATGCAGGAGTTTGTGCTGTGGCTAAATTCAGATGAAGCCATGAGCTTACATCCTGTGGAGTTTTCAGCCTTAGCACATTATAAACTGGTCTATATCCACCCATTTGTAGATGGTAATGGAAGGACTTCACGCTTGCTCATGAATCTCATTCTCATGCAGGCAGGATACCCACCAGTAACCATCCGGAAAGAGCAGAGGTCAGAATATTATCATGTTTTAGACCTGGCAAATGAAGGGGACGTGAGACCTTTCATTCGATTTATTGCCAAATGTACAGAGACAACCTTAGATCTGTTTTTGATAGCTACAGCAGAGCATCCAGTTGGCCTCCCAGAACCTAACCCTGATCTCTTTGAGTGCAAGCAAACAATACCAGTGAAGACCTAGACTTTCAGAATATGCTGCGGCCTTCGGTGCCTTAAACTTTCTGGAGGTGTCGGCCATATCTTGTTAATTTATTTGAAAAATGTTGCTGCTACATTTCTTTAGCATTTCAAATCTAAAGGATTGTGCCACAGTGCAAACTGACAATTACACAACACCAGTTTTATGGTTTGTTTCCTAAAGCATGCTTCTTAATATACACTGTAGCACTAAATGTTTTTGTGGTTCTCCAACTTTGAAAGCACTTTAAGGTCCTAAACATACAGGCTGTGTTTAATATTGGATTGTAAACCCAAGTCTGCAGAACATCCAATTTAGAAAGCATTTACCAAGCTGGTTTCTTGAAGACCCTAAACCTGCTTAAATCTAGTTTAAAGCCATAGCCAGCACTTGCATTAAGATTTTTGATTAAAAAAAGCTACCAGACTAGAGCTGGAAGTGGTTTTAAGGGCTTCAAATAAACTGCTTTAGCATGTTACAGAGACTGTTTGGTGTCTTTGCAGGTCTTTTGCAGTACTTTATGTGCTGTTTAGAGCGCATAATTTGACCCCTGCTGTTTAGCTCTGTTCAGAACAGACAGCTAAGTGAGTCATGAAGAGGACACCCCTTTAGTTTATACAGCTCTATATCGACTGTCAGTTAAACCGGCCATACGTGGACTGAAACTCGGCTGGTTCTGCAGGGAATGGCTGAATTTCGATCCATGTATGGGCACCCTGGTTTTACATTGATATATTGATTGACTTATGTACAACCAGCCTCATGGGTTTTTCCCGAACGATTAGCACTGTTAGCTACAGAAGGCAATACTAATCATTGTGCTCTGCCGGCAGGGAAGGCTCCGCACTGGAAGAATACTATACCAGCTGTGTTATGGGGGAATCAAGCATTTTTTTCCTTCCACCTGTGGAAAATTAATTGTATAATCTATGGACTACTTTAGAGAGAAACAGTCCAAGAATCAGCTGTTCCTATTCTGCTTTATAGAACTAAGACTATAAAATAGTTAATTGTTAAGAACAAACTATTAACTTTCTGTTAATAGTTTGTTCTTAGCCATTAGGTAAGGGCAAATTGACATCTTTTGCAGCACTTTAATGTGCATTGTGTTAAGGCTGGCTTTTCATATTAATTGCCTTATTAGTGCACAATGTGTTACCATGCATTGTGGTGCAACATGGGTGTTTTGGGGGTGCTATTCAAACAGGCTCCTCAACAAACCCCAGACACCAGGTCGTCATGGCAACTAGAAATTGCATCCTGGCGCCTGGGCTTTTGTCAGCCTATTCACTGTTGGTCTGAATAATGTGTCAGCCTGAAACCCAGACAAATTATTCAGACAGGAATGTGGCTTAGAGCAGAGCCTGGCAGGAGGGTGAGGGGAATGGAGGAGGATGCAGTAGCACCTGACTTGTGAAGTCAGGACTGGGCAGGGGGGGCTGGACACCGGCCAAACACGGAATGGGAGGACTCTCCTCTCCTCGCTGAACTCCTGCTGCCAATCTTTCTAATTCTCCTTTCCGCAGCCGCAATGCTGTTAGCATCGGCTCCTGCTTCCACCCTCCGCTGCCTGTGTCCCTGCAGAGCCCACAGGGAGGAAGGAGCGGGACCGCACCTCCAACACGGCTCCGCCTCTGCACTGCCACAGGGGACCCCACAAAGTGCTGAGATAAAGGACTACAGTGTCCTTACAGTACTAAACAAGGCAAGCCTGCAAAGCAGCCAGCCAGGGAGGGACATGTTTTAAGCATACAAGCTGCCCTCTGCGTCCACTCTTCTCTCAGACACTGTAGGGGAGAATGCACAGGACATGCTGGAAGACACTGGGGGGAGTGGGGGATTGCATTACTGTCTTACACCCTAAACCCAATGTCCTGCACTCGTCTCCTGCACCCATTGTCTTGCATTCTGCACACTGTACCCTCCCCTTGCATTCCATGTCCTGCATTCTTCACACTGCACCTCACAAATTACTTGTAATTTACATCAGGCTGATGGTATAAAGCAGTCTATGCATAGGAATGGGCTGCCTAAGCTGCTAAACAGCAAAAGGTAAATGCACTATTTTTACCAATGCACCACAACACATGGTAGTATGTTACTGTGTGTTGTGGTGCTCAGTAATGCCGGCGTGAAAATGAATAGCACTGCAGCATTCCAGAGTACATATTGTGTGCTGCTGCACATTTGTGCAACCCAGCTGTGTGGATCCAGACTGATTGTTTTGTGTAAATGCTTGCTAAAACTGATGTTCTTAAACTAACATGTACAAGCCAATATTAGACAGAATCTGTGTGCATGATGCCTGAAGCTACACCATACAAGGTTTTTCCTTGCTTACAAATGCCTTGTTTGTAACACTGCTGAAGTCATGTTGCAGATGAGGTCATTGCTAACAGGTTATGCTACATTGTTTAAAATTGTTCTGTGTATCTCAGCCCTGAGGTATACTTACTTCTTCCATCATTGGCAACTACAAACACTGAAAGGTCCCATTTTTGTTCTGATAAGTGGCAGTTGTAACATTTGAGGGCCTCCTACTTGGAAGCCTTGCTTAGAATGCAGCTATAGTCACCTGTGTGTCAAGCAATGTGATCACACACCCACCCCATATGTGAGGTTATGGAATTCAGTTTGAGGTGGAAGACAACACTCCTTGGTAGAGACCAGGTAACAAGCCAGAAGGGATTGAAACTTTAGATGCCCACTCCATATACTGCATTAAACGTTTTGGCGGGACTTAAATTAGGTTGTGATTGAAAGTAGACATTTAGCTGTTTTGTGTATCTTTTTAACATTTTAAATAGGTCATTTTATTTACTACCATTAGGGTTCTTGTTACTTGCTGAAAAATTGGAGTCAAAACTACAGTGACTTCCATCAGCCTCCCTATATAAATATTTTTTATTAACATTGTACACATGGTCAGTGTTAAGGACACATCTTCATTAAAGACAGCTTTTACTATGGTAAATAAAGATTAAAATTCATCTGCAGAGATGTCTCTCTGACTCAAGTTGCATGTGTATTATAGCTTGCATTTACTATAGAGATTAATGCAGGCAATCATGCATATTGTAAAGTGAAGCTCCTGGCAAATGGGTAAATACAGATTTGAAATATGTGGTTTTGCAGGCCAAAGGCAGCATGATGATGTTTAAACTGGTTGTTTGGAATTATTATTTAAAAGGTATCTAAATTCTTCAGTTCTCTTCAAGTGAAATTACCATGCTTCATTGGTTGCAAGGGTAAAAGAAATTGAGAATGCCGTTGCTAATTTCCTATTTAAAATACTAAATGCCATGCTGATCAAGTGGATTTAAAACTTGCTAACCCACTGGCCTAGGACAAGTATGCAGATCAGGAAAGTCAGAACTCCTGATCAGTATGCATGCTGTAGGTCACTGACTCAGAAAGTACTGACACCATTGACTAGGCACCACAGTCAGGTAAAAAGTAGAGGACAGTTATTGCAGCCTCCCTTCTTTCTCAGTACAGATTTCTTTAAAATGTTATCAATGAATGTAGCAGTAATCCCTCTATGATTTATGAAAATGGGCTTGTTAGTATCATAGCTCAAGCACTGCAGTGCTCTTTTTTTTTTTTTTATACTTTCCTAATTGACTGTATACAATTACTATGCACTGCCACTTGTTGTGATATGTTGCGCAGAAGTGGAAAGCGTTACCTTTTTTTTTTTTTTTTCAGTGAACTGAAACAGTAGGACATAGGCCTTGTTTTTGTGTTGGACAACACAGCCCAAAGCTGCTAGTGGGATCCAGCACAAACGTGCACCCGGGAATTACCCAGGTGTTTTCTATTACACGTGTACTTTTTTTTTTCCCCCCAACACCTTTAGCCCACAACATTTGTAGGGCTCCACTGAACCCTTTGTGGAGCATGGTCTGCATTGTGGACTGGTAGCTGGCTGATATGGATAGCCCACCTAGTCATGTGATTGTGTCTTTTGTCCAGTGAAAAATCCTTTTGATGCCCATGTCATCTGAAGCATTCCACAGCTTAAGCAGTAGAATTGCATATTGTCTGCTGTTTAGCGATCATTTTAAGATCACCTAACAGCATAGCTAGCTGTAGGGACACCTAAATGGGGTAATACATTGAATATTTCATTCCTTTAGGGTGGTAAAAAATGGCGCAATTTTGCTCCTGATACAACATTGTGTGCATCCATGTCATTACTTTCCTTTTTAATGTGGTGTGCACAGTTCAGGTGGTAAATCCTACAAAACAGCACCAATATTTGACAGAGCACAGGCACTATCTCACCACCTGTTGTTCAGGACAGACATTTAACTGTCTAAAGATAGCTTTCATTTATGTCAAAGAATGTAACTTCCCCCCAAGATTTCAGTCTTTCCCATCATAGCTCAGCATCACATGGATGTTATTTAATGTGATCTGCATGACATGCAGCCTCCCTAGGAAAGCCCACTCAGTCTGACTCTCACCAATCAAGACATTTGGATATTTGCATAATCCCTCTCAAGAGCCAGCCCACCATCTTCATCAGGCCTGAGGGCTCGAGAGGAGTACTAATGCAGGCCATAGACGGTTTGTTTATCGGCTGATTTTTTTGTCCGAAAAACAAAACTTCGTTCTGTAAACCGATGTTGCCACCAATGATTGCGAAAATCAGCCGTTTTTCACGAATTTTCCAGCATGACCGATAAACGAAATGAGGAGGAACTGCGAAAATCGGCCGGTGCCATTGCCCTACTACCAGTGTGAAAATCGGCCGATTATTCTTTTGGAGGAAAAATCGGCTGATAAACGAACCGGCTATGGCCTGCATAAGGCAGGATGCTACAACCTGCTTACCCCTCCCACCAGTCATAATCTGCTTGCATCACATATAGAAATGGTGTCACTGGGTCTAAAAAAAATGCAAGAAAAAAAAAAGGTGCTAGTTCAATACAAAAGATGCTTCAGTGTAGCACACCTTCTCCAGTGTAAATGGTTGGGTTGGAAAAACTACTAATTCC